GGGAGGGGAGGGTCTTGAGAACCTCACTGGCAGAGTGTCGCCTGCCCAAAAACAGACATGTGAGCCCAAAGGGGCCCAACAAAGACTCATTCTTGGTCATGAGCTGCTTATTAGGGTACATCAATATATATATATATATCAGGGCACTACAAAAGGCACCCCTAGGTCACTCAGAGTGGTTAGAAGGCGCTTCAATTGCTTCCTTGTTTGGCGGAAACCTTAAACTGGGTTGCTGTTAAGGAACTTAATTTAAGTTACTATATTGGGGGAACCATATGAATTACTATATATACCCATTCTGGTAACTTTATTTAAGTTCCTCAACAGCAACCCAGTAAAACCCTATACCCTAAATCCCTAAATCCCTAAACCCTAAATCCCTAAGCCCTAAACCCTAAATCCCTAAATCCCTTAACCCCTAAACCCTAAACTCCAGGGCCCCCGGGCAGATCCAGATGAAGTGCTCTTGATTGGAGAAGGCCACGCCCTCCATGCTAAACCTTGGCTGCAGCTTTACTGGGTTACTATATTGGGGAAACCCATAATGGGGTTTAGGGTTTAGGGTTTAGGGATATTATCCCGCTATAATGGAGAATCAAATCGAAAAGAAAATGGAAAATGAAATGGAAACTGGGGGAATATAGGGATTTAAGGAACTTAAATTAAGTTACTATATTGGGGAAACCCTGTTAGTTACTATATATACCCATTATGGTAAATTAATTTAAGTTCATTGACAGCAACCCAATTTATACAGGGTGGGGGGGTCTCCTACGGATGAATAAGTTAAGAAAACAGGGTCCCAGCAGAGAAATGAAGTTTGCGGCCACACGCCGCAAGTTATGGAACCCTACAACGCAAACTTCAAAGCTCCAAACCCTACCTAGACCCTCCTCCTACCCTCTATTAGGGCCTAAGTACCTACATTTAGGGACCATATATCCCCAATTAAGGGTACAAGGAGGGTCCTGGTATAGACCTTACCGTACGCGCGCGAATCTTATCAACTCCCAGGGATCCCTAAACTCTATCCTAAACCCTATATGGGGGTTTCCCAAACTTAGCGGTACCCAAAATTAGGGGTTTAGGGTTTAGGGTTTAGGGTTTCCCTATATGGGGGTTTCCCAAAATTAGGGGTACCTTATTGGGGGTCCCCATAATAAGGATTCTAGTATATTGGGGTCTATGATGGGGTCCCTTTATTCTAGGAAACTACCATATAACACATTAATGTTGCACTCTCTTTAAACTTTGGGGGGCCCTCTCCCCCTAGCAATAGGGCTCCCCGCATAATAGAATTTAGACGTCAATGAGGATCCCATTGTACTGAGGGCCCCGGGAGACCGTGGGGATTACTGTGAAAGGGATGGTCTGGATTCGGTCCCGTATCTTTAAGGCCCAAAAACCAAAACACATTAAAGAGTGGCTTCCAAACAACGGCCATGTCCTGAATAAGCGGCGGCGAAAACACATTAAAGAAGGGCTCTTCACAAGAGTGAGTGCAACATTAAAGTAGTCTCCACTTTCTTTTCCGTTATCCCCATATTACCGAATATAAAGAGCTTCAAAGGTTTCAGGATTCTACCTGTAATGTTGTACCCGTGGGGTTGAGGATCCTTAATCACTGAACCCCAGCCTCTACTGGACCCATCTTAGGGCATCAACCATGTAGGATTACGACCTCGTGGGTGCAACTGCACAAGCGCGGCCTTGAGTGATGAGACCATCATGGCCCCAACCTATGTGTGCCTCCGCAACTAATGAGGCCTAATACGTCTTGGGTCGGGCCACACCCACTAGTGGTGACCACAACGAATAACAATGGAATTATATCGGGGTCCTTACGTATTCCTACGGCACCACAATTGCTAATTACTGGGGTGGGGCCCTAACCCCCCAAGAAAAACCTAATAATTACCAGGAATCCTAGCAGTAGCCTCAAGCCCTAATAACCCCCTTGCGATCCCATAATGAAGGCAACTAAGAAGGCCTAATATGCCTTAAGAAGCCCTCATATGGCATGAGGATCACACGGTTAAGTCTTTTTTTAAGGTTGAGAGTTCAGCGCGCGGAAATTGGAGCTGCCCGGACTCATCAGGCTTCAGGTTGTCCCAGCTGTGTTGTAGAGGAATTGAAATAGGGTTTGGTGTTTATTCTACTATAGTGATGAAGTGGTTGGAGGGGATAATATTGGTAATTATTTCGGCTTTAAAAACTGATGCCTCTTCTTTTCTTGTGAAGTACTGCTCCTGATTTAATTCTTTTGCCAAGGGCCAGGTGTTCATTCGAATCTTGCTTGCCTACAATAGCTTCTTCTACTGTCCTTTGACTCTTGAATCCGAGCGACCATTGCAAAACAGAGGCTGCTGACCTAGGCCTAAACTTACCCCGACAATCTCGCGTCCTTCAAGTCAAGCGTAATCAAGTTTAAGCCCATCCGCCCCAGACTCAGCTCAGCAATTCCGCACACATCAAACCTTTGGAAAGAAGCAGGCCCCAAACATGTTTTTGTTTTCTCGAACATTCTTGGTATGCTACTCTCCTGCACACTGACAAGAAACCCCACGAAGACACCCTTGGAAGGGAGGGCAATCTTTCTGGCGAGTTCCATACTATTCGGCTGTGGGAGAATGTCGACTTAGGGATTGCTGGTCTCCTCTATGCTGGGGAGCCCTCTTGGGTGACTGTAGTAAGTCAAATTAGAAACTGGGGTTCTGGGAGTCGTAATGACTACTCAGGATAGTAAGGGCATAGACTTGCGGCTTCGAAAACCGCCGTTCAAGTTAAACCCTGAACCCAAATCCCTAAACCCTAAAACCTCTGAATGACCAACTCACTCAAGGTTTGGGGGATAGGATTTGATCAAGGACAAAGAAGCCAATCGCACTGAACCATGGCCGCCCCGTAGAGAATCTGCGCCAGGGCCAGGAGGAGGGCCAAGGTCCAGTAACCTTGACGTAGATTTGAGCCCTGGACTAAATTTGTAGTATATCCCTTGATAGGTGCCCCCTAAAAGCCTATTATATAGTCCCGTGTAGATCCCCCCAACCTAAATTTAGTCCGTAGCTCATTTGGGTTTAAGGCTTTGGGTATGCAACTTTAAGTTTCTAGGTCTGTTTCCTGTTAGCAGGTTTTGGTGTTGATTGTGCTTTAGGCTTGGGATTTGCTGTTTAGTTTCTATAGGCTTTTCTTTCAGTAGGTTTGGGTGTTGAATGTGCTTAAAGGCCAACAGGTTAATTGGTATTAAACGTTTTACTTTTGAAGTTTGCCCCCTTCGGTAGAGGAAGGGAATCTTGCAAAAAGCCCTGTAATGACCGCCTTTAGAGCTAAATAGACCCAGTACATCAGCAGTAGCCTGCATGGGCCATTGAAGAGCGTCGAGGTTCAGGACCCAAGGCTTAGATGTGAAGCTTCATGGAACCCAGAGGGTCCATGTACCCAATAATTCGGTACTTGGCATTTGGGTAATAGTAATTATAGTACAGGTTTTGGGTAAGTATATGATTATTTGGTACTTGGACCCTAGGGGAAGCCTTGCTTCAAGTCATCTTGCGGTGCCCCTTTTACCCGCAAGTGCTGGCAAAGCTCAGTAGGGGCAGCCAGTACACTAGCACACTGGGTGTTTCCAGGCCTAGGGTTTATAGGGTTTAGGATGATTATGTGCTTTACACGTGCTTGTAGTGTTTGGGAAATGGCACCATGCTTGTCGTAACGGGCTGAAGCTCTGGGGTTTGAGCTTAAAGCAGTGGCTATACCGATAATGACAACGCGCGGGCCATGTTCCTATCATACTAGCATCGACAAGTCCAAGTGTTTTGCCGGCAGCAAGAAACCGTCGAGTTCCGTACATGCTACCACGAAAATTTCAGGTTGCTACATGCCCTGGGCCCAAGACCCTTGCCCTTCACCTTCTGCTCCACGCCACAAACTATAACACACCCACACAAAACTAAAACAAAACAAAAAGCAACACGCACACACACACACACACAAAACACAAAAACAAAACTATGTTGACAAATTGCGCGAGAAGTGGGATTTAGGTACCCTGAAAGGTGCTAACCTAAAAACAAACACCACAACCCATCACGCTTTGCTACATTCTGGGGTCCCAAACCCGAAGCCTCAAACCGTGAAACCTCCATCTCACCCCAGAACTCTAAGTTCTTGACTTATAAGGCGGCGCCGCCTGGCTACATAACTATGGGTTCCGAAGCAGTGAACCTAGAACTAGCTGCTATTAGGCCCGAACTGACAGCCAAGGCGCTCAAGAAGGGCCACACCATGCAGGCACCCCTTGCAAAGGATTCAGATTTGATTTTTGAGGCCTTGGGCTTATGGTCGAGGATCTTTGAACCTTAAGAGGTTGAGATTTTCGAGGTAGGTTGAGGGTTGAGCAAAGCTATGCATGACGACTTCTAGACCTCAGGTATCTTCAGAACCTAGGCTTCCAACCCTAACCTTGAGAAATCAACCATGCGATAGAAGGTCACTGTAGGGGCACAGTGCATCTTCTGATGTACTAGTATATTATAATATGTTCTGGTATATCATAGCATCCAGCCGCGTCAATTTTTTTGGAGTTCCCATCATGCTTTGTCATCAGAAAGTCCGCGAGCTCGCCCAACAAGGGTATTGTTGCAGGACCATTACTTCCCCACAGGGTGCATAATTCCCATATTACCCAGTATCAAACACCAAGGGTATCTACGTACGAGTGTATGCAAACGACAAGGGTATTGGGCTGCGTCTGCGTTGGTCTTGCTCCTTGCTGTGGTCGGGTCCAAGGCTCGCCTCTGAACTTTGGGAAACCTAAGAAGTGGTTGCATTACACCCCAAACCCCCAAGTCTCTAAATACAGTACTTATTTCTTAAGACGTTGGTATCTCCACGCACAATTGCAATTTGAGCTTGTCGCTGTTTGAGGTATCTCCACGGCTAAGAAACTGTAGTTGTCGGCGTGAAACGAACAATCCTTCCCCCTGTCTACGCCCGCGCACTCAAAGTTTAGAGTTCCCCGCACCAGTGGAGCGGAAACGAAATTCCTGCTTGAAGTTCGGGTATTCTGCGGCTGGGGGCGGGCACCAGCCCCTACCTCGGAAGTGCTCTCGTCCAGAAGGGTAGTCCTTGAAGGCTCCAAAATCCCGGTCGTGCGTGTAGCTGAGGCAGATAGGATCGGGGGCTTCTGCTTCTTTGGCATACGGTGGATTCCGATAATCGCGACTTTGACGATATGCAGAGGAATGGTTCCAGAGGATTAGGTTCAACCGCTCTCCGGAAGTGATGTCGTCAGCTCCATGCCGCTTTCGTCCCAAATGGACCACACAGTGACCCTTCTGGTGCTGGTATGTAAAATGGTGCTTCCGATGCTCGGGGGCACCTACTGCACCACAAAACTGAAGGCCGGCTCCAGTGAAGTCAAGGCCTAGGCAGATATTGAAAGTCACATCTGAGTCATCAGTGTGCATGTCCAGTCCTAGGTCCTCTCCTTCACGGTAACGGACAATGAAGCAGTGATGGCTGTCCCAGAGACTGCCAGGCGCTTGGAACAGCCCCTGTCCCAAGGGCTGCAAGAACTCTTGCAGCTTATCAATAAAGGGCTCAAGGCCAATGTCGCTAAGGATGATCCCATAATTGTTCATGCTGTTTGGCCGCCTCGCTGGCAGCCCACTCTTGTAGAAGTTGAAGACCTCCTCTAAAAGTTTATCACAGAAATCGTCGGTGAAAAGCGGGAAGGAAAAGACCTCCCCAGCCGCATGCTCGGACAGGATAGCACGGGCTGCGGCGAGGTCCCCTTCTCTCATTGCCTCGATGCAGGCTCGGGCGGAGGGGTGCAACCACTCCTCCTTGAGAGGCTGAAGTGGGTCAAAAAGCTCAGGGTGAAGTACTTGTGCGCGGTAGGCTCGGATGACATCCAAACGCTTTGCGTTGACGCGTGCAGCATCCTGCACCCAGGAGGAAAGTCGGCGGGCCTCCATTGAAGCTCCAGATGCTTCCCCAGGCTCCTCTGGCAAGCCCAAGTAGGCTGCAGGCTCCAGTAGGAAGCGACGAAGCTGAACCAACAACTCCTGATAGTTTCCCAAAATAGGGGGACTAAAATATATAGACCCCATACTAATGTAGTCCTTATTATTGGGAACCCTGAAATGGTACCCCTAATTTTGGTACACCCTAAACCCGATATGTCCCTAAAGAATCCCTATATAACCCCCATATTATAACCGAATGGCACCCCTAATTTTGGGAAGTCCTCTCCTTCAGCATCTCTGACGAGTCTGACACCTCACAGGATGCCTTGAAAGTGTCCCAAAAGACCTTTGGCGGGCTCCTGTTCCGGGCCACGAGGGCAAAGGCCAGCTGACCTTACTCTTGGCCTAGTAGGTAATGATCCATACACCATTCTGTATGGAATCCCTTAGGAGGACCCTAATATAAGAATATACGAGGACCCTAATATAATCCCTATTATCCCTTATAGTCACTATTACTGGGTGGGAGGTCCACCTAAGGAATCCCTTCTTAAAGTCCTATATCCTCTTTCCGGCGTCCCGTATTCCCAAGGAGCCCATTACAGCTCGATTTAAGAATAATCCATATTAGGGGATGCCATAGAATCATTTAGGGTATACTCCTTCATTCAGGAACATTGGGCCCTGTGGGTTAACCGCAAGCACGTGACACCTTAAACCTCAAAAACCTTCCATGACCCTCCTTGTACCCTTAATTGGGGATATATGGTCCCTAATAGTGGGTACTTAGGCCCTAATAGAGGGTAGGAGGAGGGTCTAGGTTAGTATCTTCATGACGGTACGTGAGGCCCCGTGGCTTAACCTCCAGCAAGTGACCTCTGATCTGCACCTCAGGCAGCTCCAGGGGCCATTCAGACGTAAACCGCAAACGAACCCGCCTAAGTTGTGGACAAGCACCTAAAAAAATTAAGAAGGCATGCACACCCACAGATATCTAGATATATACATGAATGGGCACACAGTCATTAACCCGTTTTCAGAGGGCCCATCATCAAGAAAACTCAAAAACGCAAAAGTAAACAAGCCCTAAACCCTATGTCACTGAACAGCCCAGCTTCAGGGGCTCATAGAAAGTGGGATGCTCTGGGTCTCCTGGTAACCTGGGTTGCCATTGAGGAACTTAAGCCAAGCTTACCGCAATACCAGTATATGGTCAATATCCTGGCTTCTTTATAGCTGTGACTCCTCGTTCAAAAAGTCGTCAACTGCAACCAAGTGGCAGCACCTGCACATCCCATGGACCATTCTCAGCGCTGGTCGCCTGCATCTCGCCCTGCTCATCCACCAGGAAAGGAGTGCGCACAGGCTTTGTGATGGCAACCACACCTGGATGGCTAGTGAGGAACCTGAGTTAGCTACCTAGGTAAGGGAACCCCCACAATACGATATTATGGGAAGCTGATGTCCATTCCTTTTTGCCCTAAAACACCCTAAATGTTTGTACATCCCCAGTTTCCTATCATGCTCCATTTTCCTTATTGAGATACATTCCCCAAACTACAGGAACCCCAATATAGACCCCAAAACATAGTCCTTATGTTTAGGACCCCCAAAATGGTACCTCTAATTTTGGTAAAGCCCTAAACCCTAAATCCTATATATCCCTATAGAACCCCTATATACCACCGTTGCAGGCTGATAGCAAGCCCAGACACTGCTGGTTCCCTCCACTGTTTCCACAGCCTGCTGAAGGGAGACCTGAACCTGGCCCAGGTCCATGTGGCCAATAATTAGGTCCCTTCAAAGGGGGTATATAGGGTTTAGGGTTTAGGGTTTAGCATTTAGGGTTTAGGGTCCATGTACCCAATAATTAGGTACTTGGGTTTGGGGTAACAGTAATTATAGTACAGGTTTTGGGTAATTAAGTATATGATTATTAGGTACTTGGACCCTTACGGTTAGAGGACTTTG